ATGTAAGTGTTAGCTTATTACCGGATGATCATTTTGTGTTTGAAAAGGTCACATGATCATCAGCTTGTTGCAGATATCACTTGTTTATTATGAGCAGTCTAACTATCCTGTACAGTGTGATTCAACACACACACACACACACAAACACACACACACACACACACACACACACACACACACGCACATCACTACATGATCATACATGATCACTCACTCACACACACAGCTCCAGATAAAGAAGACCCAGCAGTAAAGTTTGGAGCTGCTCCTGTTCTCAGCCTGAAGCTCAGCTGCTGGGAGGTGAACCAGGATGGAGCAGGCTCAGGGGAACACTCACCCAGTTTGACCATCATCATCGTGATCAGGAACGTCCTCTGGTATCTGGACCAAACTCTCCCACCCTCCATGGTGAACTCCAGGCTGCTGGGGTCTCTGCTCAGCGCACAGGGATGCTGTCAGAGCACCGGCTCTCCATCCAGACTGCTCCTGCCTTCTGAGCTGCAGGGAGCAACAAGCAGCCCCTCTCTGCCGGACCACTGAGGCTCTGAGTCTGCGGGAGAGTTTGGGAGTTTGTCTGCGTGTGTGTTGGGGTGTGTGCATGTGTGTGTGTGTGTGTGTGTGTGTGTGTCCCAAGGGACCAAGCTGGGATGGGATAGAGTGAAGCAGAGTAATCACCCCAGCAGAGAGTGAGGGGAGGAAAACCTGGGCTGGAGTTCTGGATCTGCAGAAACTCCTTCCTGTTCGAGGATCTGCAGGTTTTACAACCAAAGAACCTTCACCTGGTTAAATATCCAGATATCCACCAGCTTTACTGCCAATGACACCGCTTCATCATCAAATCAACGAGCTTTAGAAGAATAACTTGAACCTGATTTTGTTGTTTGCTGTTGAGTTCTCTGATATGTTGAAAATCTCAGCTTCGTCCAAACCTTCAACATCAGCTTCATCACTGCATGTTCAAAGACATATTTGCTTTCAGTAACATCCCATTCTGGATCCTCTTCATCTGCTTTTACTGATTAAATGTGATTTATAAAAAGAACTCTGTAAACTAAAAACATTAACTGATTGATCCATTTTGATCCAGGATCATGCTATTATAAAGTCACAAAAGTTTTATTGGACAGAAAAACAGCTAAAGCCACACAAGACAAACTGGCTTTTTATCTTTGTAATGACCCCCGCACGTGAAGTGTAAGCGGGAGTCGTATTGTTTTCATAATGGGTTTTTTTTTTCAGTGATTTTTGGTCAACCGCGGCTGCACCAATCAACATGAAATTTGACAAGACTGTAGATGAGTCTGACCTACACTGCACCAGCCAATGGTTTTACGACAGACCCCATA